GCTGAAAGCTGGTGTTTTTCAATTTTAGTGAGAACAAATGATTTCAGAATTTTACAAGATATTGTTATGATAAAACCAAATATACCAAATAAAAAAAATACCAAATTTTCTAAAACATTAATACAATTTCATATTTTTTTAATGTTATCTTTCTCTAAAAGTTTTCTATCTTTTTTTTGAATGCCATATTTTACAAAAAATGAGAAAAGAATGCATGAAATTTCAATCATCTGTACGTCAGGGTTTCAGCTAACAGGTCCTTAAAGCAGCAGTTCTACATCCATGTCAGACTGTCATTTTAAAGAAAAAGGATTTTATTATGATTTAATTACTATTATTCAGATTAATGCATAGACAATTCATGTGTCACAGTAAAACCCAATAAACAAACCAAAATAATCCTTAGAACACAATTACGGTAGGTTGTGAACAGAGGATGGATATAAAAACAACCCAAGTCCAAAGCCAAACAATGACAAATCTGAAAACCTTCATATATTTTATTCAACATCAGAATGAATGTCTCAGATTAGTAGTAGAAATATTAAAATTACCTTTATTTCACATTAGAATTACCTTTATTACATTATCTAACTCTTTTCAAACTTGTAGCCCTGCATGTTTTGTTCCTTCTGCAACACAGGCAATACAAATATCTGAAATAACTATGTAAACATGCTTTGCTTTAATGAGCTATATATTTGTCACAGGTCTGTCGGATAAGTGAAAGTGCGAATGTTACAATGTCTTCCTATATATCCTATGCTTATCTTTCAAAACACTTGATGCAAATGACTGAATTATTTCCTACCACACTCATCTAGCTCAGGTGTTGATTCCTCACTTTAAAACGGGTATCTTTGCTTATAACGTGTCCTTTGTGAGTGGCATTGTGTATCACAGATCTAGAACAGAAAGCCCTCTGATGAAGAATTCATACACCTCTGCTTTAAAGTCATCTGTCACGTTTGACACAATGAAATGGCGGTTCCATGTGGCTCTATGGTAAAACTGCACCTGTCGATTTATAGTTCCTGGCTAAAATGTATAAATTGGATACATTTATTTTCCCTAAAAGAGTAGCCTGAGTATATAACTGCCATGTAAAACCCATGAAATAATTGTGAGAAATTTCTAATATTTTCAACTGGAGTTTTCAGTGAACCTTTTTACAAACAAACCATATATGCAGTAGATCTGCACAAAGAGGCTTTAACTTCTATGACTTTGCTCTACATTATGCATTTCTTTATTATAGATGAGGGGGAAAAAAATCAAAACTATACTCATATAGCAAATTCCAAGATAAAAATAGCAAAGCATTTCAAACAAATGAATTAACTACAAAACAATATTTATGCAAAAGATTTAAAAAGTAATTTTTTTGGTCTTTTAAAGTAGGCATTGAGTCTGCTGATGTGACAATGGGGCAACAGGTGTACCATAGTGCTGGCGCCACAAAGGAAATGTATTGATCTGCTGTGGTAGCTGGCCTTAATTACTCATGCCTTTCACCTGCTTCACTCTTTCCAGCTCATAATTATCATTCTTCCATCCACCTGCCAGAAAAAACGAGTGTAAAATACATATTAGTATACAAAAAGAATAAAACAAAGTAAAACCTCTCAAATTGTGCCAAAAGCCAAGGAAAAAAGATAAGTCTTAAGAAGGAACTTAAAAACAGCAAGAGAAGAGGCCTGTCTTATGCTCAGAGGCAGATCATTCCACAGCTTAGGAGCTGCCACAGAAAAAGCATGGTCTCCTCTGAGCTTGCATTTTGTCTTTGGGACCCTCAGAAGCAACTGATCAGCTGACCTGAGGGAACGGGAGGGTGTATAAGAATGCAACAGCTCAGACAGATAAGAAGGAGCAAGGCCATTAAGAGTTTTAAAAACAAATAAAAGAATTTTAAAATTAATCCTAAAATGTACTGGCAGCCAGTGTAAGGAAGCTAAAACAGGGGAAATGTGGTTGAATTTTCGTGTACCTGTTAAAAGACGTGCAGCAGCATTTTGAACCCTCTGAAGATGAGAAATATACAAGTCACTGACCCCCGTATAAAGTGAGTTACAGTAATCCAGCCGTGTGGTCACAAATGCATGGATCACTGTTTCGAAATGCTGTCTGGAAAGAATGGGTTTTACTTTTGCTAGCTGCCTTAAGTGGAAAAAGCTGCACTTTATAACGGCTCTGATGTGCGCTTCCATTTTAAGACCAGCATCATTCTTAACCCCTAAATTTGTAATAACCGGCTTAACGTACTGAGCCAAGGAGCCAAGACTGGTCACGGAATCAGCAGTGGATCTGCCAAAGATCATTACGTTCGTCTTGTCCTCATTGAGTTTTAAAAAATTTAGGGCCACCCAGGCCTTCACATCTTCAAGACATTAAAACAGAGACCGAAGAAAGGTGGAGTTTACATTCTTTAGCGGGAAGTATATCTGGGTGTCATCTGCATAGCAGTGAAAGGCTACGTTCACACTGCAGGCCTTGATGCTCAATTCCAATATTTTTGTGAAATCCAATTTTTTTTTGCGTTCCAGTTCATATTTCCAGTGGCATTGGATGTAGGAGTTTGCCCTAAAATCGAAGGCTTGACGGTTCAAGCCCCGACTCCGACTTTCAGTGTCGTTGTGTCCTTGGGCAAGACACTTCACCTGCATTGTCTACTGATGGTGGTCAGAGGTCAGTGTACGGCAGCCCCGCTTCTGTCCGCGAGCCCCAGGGCAGCTGTGGCTACAATGTAGCTTGCCACCATCAGTGTGTGCGTGAATGGGTGAATGAATGTAGTGTAAAACGCTTTGGTCAAGTCTCCTAACTTGAATAAAGGTGCTATATAAGTACATGCCATTTACCATAAGACTTGTATGTGATCTCTTGTGTGAACTGCAGTCATACAACACAAGTGTCCCGCATGCGCAGTAGAGGACTCAATGACGCCACAGGCCATTGTGCTCTCTGTTTACGGAAGTAAACATGGATGGTAGTGCTGGCACAAATCTAGCAGTCTTTTCTGACCATAAAAACTCATTCTTTTCAATATGTTTAAACATAAATACTGCTCTCCGCATCATCATCTGCCATGGTTGTTGTTTTTCTTGCCGCTTCTGCGTAGCAAGACGCAGAATAGTGACCTTTGTCGGGTATTAATGATGTTCAGGTTGGATGAATTCGACCTGGCCGTTCAGACACAGGTCGCATTTGAGAAGATCAGATTTGTATCTGATTCTGAACCACATAGCCAAGCGGCCTGGGTCAGATTGGTAAATTGGATCCAGGCTTCCAGGCACCGTAGAGCTCCCAGGAAGGTTCAGAGGCCACACAGAGACAGAACAGAAGCGTGACCAGGCGGTCACGGGCAGGAGCAGACATGATCAGGTGCAGAAGAGCAAGCTCAGTGGAAAAGGGTAGCCGAGACAGGACGTGGAACCAGAACTTGAGCAGGACTTTCAAACTGGAACTCAATCTGCTTGAAGATGGTCTCATAGCCTTTACCTTTAAAATGCCTGTCTGAATGTTTCTTCCTAATGTCCATGTTGAGTGTGGTACAAACCATGTCACCAAACAGCACAGTGATTACCTGTATCCCCATATATAGACCCACTGACTGTTTACAAAATTGGACACACCCATGATGCTAATTAGTGGACATACCTCAGTTTGGCTATTCTTAAAAGTTATCCAGTTTTTTTTTTTAGTTATTTTTTTTTTATGACATAAACGTTGTGGACAAGATGTTTCAATGGCGTCTAACATCTCCAACCAACCAACAAATACTAGGAAAAAGAGATAAAGAGATTAATTTTTCCTGCCAGTTGTTATGTTTTTAGGACTCACTGGTGTATGGAATTCCAGCTATAGATAGATGTCCGTTGTTAAGGCTGATGGACTAAACATAAATGAATGAATATTAGATATACTAAAAATAATTTGCAAAATGACACAATCCAAATTTTGGCAGTGCTGTATCTATAAATGAATAATTTTGCACAAAAGATATATGTTGTCTCAATGTTGGAAGCATTACTCTGTTCCTTCTATTCTGAACTTACTGTACTTGAAATATATATTCTTAAACTACTGTCTCTGAAAGGTATGATAAATAATTTATCAAAAATCAATGGGACACATGTTCTTTTTTAAGACCTGCTTTAACCTTCTAGTCGGGCTGTTAATGTTGTTTTTGTCATCTGGATCCCTAAAACACCTTTGAACTTTGATAGCTTCCTTCCTTGTTTCCCCTTCTGTCATCTAAAAAGGGACAGAAGTAGAAAAGCTATAAATGTTGACACTATTTTAAACCTCTTATTCTATTTGCCTGTAAGTCACCTCCTTTGTGTAGGTTGAAATATACTTTATTAAAAAACAGAAAAAGCTGTAAAATATATATTAACAAACAGGATACTTTATTGATTCCTGGAGAAAACTATGCTGTAGGGTTTTGACTTTTGTCTATCACTTACTTGTTTAAAAGGCTTGTGTTTTGGAGGGTTGATCTGGAAACCTTTAAAAACTTCATCAGAGAGAAAATATTTTTTTCTGATTGGGCAGTTTTGACCAGCATGTCCTATTAATTTTTGAACTATTTAATACCAGGCTACCAGCTGTTCTACCATCAAACAATCCCTTGTTGCACAAATGTATTGTATATGTGGAGAAGATTCAAATAATTCAAAATTTTAGTCAGCACTGCGGAAAAGAAGTCACATGCATGTAAATAAATTCCTTTCCCAATAAAAAGCAGTCAATTGCCAAAATTAGATCAAGTTTTGCTGAATTTGTAACATTTGAAAACTTTTGCCTGATTTATTTTACATAAACTTACAATTCCAAGATTTTTATATGTGTATTGATTCAAAAATCTAGTTCAATTCAACCACACAACTGAATTGCTTAACAATTCTCCAGCCCCATTATTGCAAAGACACACACACACACACAGCCACAGCCACACAGGGGTTATCGCCTTTCCTATTCTTCTGCACACAGTGGCAGGAAGTCGTCCAGATATCCGCAGGGAGTCTCAAAAAAAGGAGTGAGCAAATAGAGTCAGCACGGTGGCCGATACAGTGGCGATGACATTAGGTGACTTTACTTAGTTCGAACAGCAAGACCTCGGGTTGTTCTTTAAATGATGCTACTGGAGTCAGATTAGAAGGACTTTAAAACCCGACCAGAAAGACGAACGTGATCTGAACATGCTGGGTCTAAGAACATTTGTTCTGCTGGGACTAAGCTGGGTGTGTCAAGGTGAGTTTTGGCAACATTTCTAATTAAATATATATTTTTAAAATTACAACTTTGGGAGAACTCTCTGTTCTCAGTTACTTTTCACTGTAGCTGTAATCTCTACAATAAAGATCTTGAGAAACTTAGACTTGTTGCCTAAAAGAATTGATTCTCATTTAACTAACTCCTAATAATTTTTTGTCGAAGACTAAGCCACAGTTTTGAATTAACTATCTGTGACAGCTTTCAATACCTTTTCATATATATTAGGATCTAAATGAGAGACCTAGTATTTAATTCCCTCTGTTTGATAAAAACAGTTTTTGCTTGTTAAATGAATCATAAATGTGAAGCACACATCTAAATTCAGCTCTATTGTCAATGGGCTCTTTTCCCTTTATGGTCCCACCAACACCTGCCAAGCCCATTGTCCAACTCCATCACATTCCTCATTGCCTTAGTGATGACCTTCGAACTTTATCAAGTTCCCAGCCCACTCCGTTTCCTTTGGCTATTCGCTCCTTCTGGAAGCTTCCTGTTTATGTCGGGCCCGTTTCCTGTCCCCTTTAGCTGGCAGTATTGCGACCCACCTTGCTTGGCTTGACCCATATTGTGGCAAATAGTTGCTGATGGTCTGAAACAATGTGTGGGGAGAGACGACCATCTGATAAAAGAATATTTTAATTTGAAATGTCAGGTTAAATACACAAATAAGCTAACCTCCCGCCAAGGTTGGTTAATGTCATTTTCCCAGAAAGTAATGAATCTGAGTTTTTTTAGGCCAAGGATTGTTCATTAAGGCATTTATTAGAACATCATGAGTAATTTTCCTTCAAATTTGTAGCAAAACACTGGAATAATGGATCACAATAAAGATTTAAGGACATTTGCAAAAGGCTTAATTGGCATCTAACCCAGTTGTCTGCTCTAATCAAGAAGTGATTCCAGTCTGCGGTGGTCATTATCTCAAATGATATTCAACAAAGTCTTTAGTGAAGTGTCGAAAGGTGATGCATGCTGCAGGCTAGTTGGTATGTTCTAGTCAAATTACCGGTAATTACGTATATAGCGTTATATTAAGTCCAAGGACCCAAAGCAGTTTACAAGGAGGTTGCCATACATCGGTACCTCTGATGAACCAGTGACCCATTAGTTAAAGTTAAACACCAACACCGTGAGTTAAAGTTGGTCACCCAATAGATGAGCTACCGTAGCTCTAATGCTGAAGAAGCCGACTGTGGTCAGATGTTTTGTTGCAATATCCTAAGTGATCTGGTGTAAAGGCATTCTGTGCAGAATTGTCATGAACTCTAGTGTGGCTTTGCTTTGTCCAAATAAAATGTGAGACAGTGTTTCAATTCATGAAGCCCAGAGAAAAAAAATCTGCAAGTTGGGATCTACTCACCCTTTGTTGCAGTAGCCTCTCTATATGTACTGGTTGACATGGAAAAAGATTCCGAATGGAGATCATAAAGTCGGTGGCAACCAGTGTTTTAAGCCGGGCTTAATACTTGTTCAGCAAAGGTTTGAAGAGAACAACCAAGTTGCATTGACTTGGCCTGCAAATTCCCCAGATAACAATCTAAATCTAATTGAGAACATTCAGGAGATCCTGGAGAGACGAGTCTAATTCATAAAGGCCAGACCTTTCAATCTGCGGCCCTCATCATGGTGCCAAATACCACAATGCACTGTCAGGATTCTTGAAGTACCCATGCCTCAGCAGGATAGGGTTATTTTGTTAGCAAAAATGTAAACAATACACCAAATAGGTGAAAAATAACAAAACATTCAATATACACATAAAAATAACATAATAATGTACCTGCTCTTTTCAGAAAAAAAGAGAGGAAATGAAATGTATTACAGGTCTTCTTTGATAAGTTTCTCACAAATCATCCTTTCATTTATCCTAATCAGTATTCATTTTTACAGCTGTTTCTAGTGATCCATGGCACCTGTGTCGCGAGAACAGTTGTAAGGACAAGTTTGGAGATGGGACATGTCACAGAGAGTGCATGGAGTCACGTTGTCTACAAGATGGCTTCGACTGTCAAAAGAGTCAGGACCCCTGCAAGTAAAAAAAAAAACACATTTGACTTACTGAAGTCTTGAAAAGTAAATGAGGATACTCTTTTAAGCTTAGCAAGGAAGGGCAAAGAAAGTCTGTGGTTCTAATCAGTTATTAAAACAATGTTTTTGTAAAATCAAGGTTTTGTAAATAATTGCTCTTTAAAGTACAGGTGTGCCATTTGAAGTTGATATATGATGTATATACTTCTAAAACAATGTTCTTTGGAAAAACTAGAGCAAAGGAGATGTTAGGCATTTAAAAGAAAACAAGGGATAACATCACAAACACAGTCACTTTAGAACAACAGTCAAATGCAGTGGCCGTTTGGCAGCTTCGGAGAAGGAATGTCCTTAAACCCTATGCAAGATCAAAGCTGGACAATGATTAAAGAATTCACTTGCCTGAAATCTTGCACAGAATTGCTGATAATGAAATAAATCAGGTAGTTGCAAAAACCAGGTTAAAGTCTAGACTTTAACTGGATCAAAATCCTGCGTTCGGAAACTGAGAGAGCTATACAGAAACAAATTTCTTCCAATCTAAATATATTGAAATACCATCAGATAACAGAGTAAGGAAAGGGATAGTTTTGATTCAATTAAGGTTTGACCTGATATAGATATCTTAAAGCAGGGACTGTTTTTATTTGAAATGTAAACATTCTTGCTTTTTATTTTATTTTTTGTAAATTACCTTGCAGTATTTTGCCATTATGTCTTAAAGAGTTATGATGACCACCCTATTCATTCTGTCACTTATATGTCCTTTTCTCTCCATCTCTTTGTTCCCCAATCATTATCTCTCAGTCCAAGATACATTGAATATTGTCGTGCTCATTACGGCAACACTCTTTGTGACCAGGGCTGCAACAGCGCAGCCTGTGGATGGGATGGAAGTGACTGCTTCAGTGAGCAGAGCCCTCTGTGGGCTAAAGGCACCCTGCTACTTCACACTAAAATTCCAAAGCAAAATCTCTCCGTCTCTGTCACTCCTCTACTCTGGACACTAAGCGTCATCCTCCAGTCACCATTAAAACTCAGGGGAAGCATTTCCCTTGCGGCAAACATGAAATTGTTTGAAATTGACTCTCAGAAGTTGGCTGACATGCTGACGCATTCCTCCCAAACCGACTCAAATGGGTGAGTTCTAATATTTGATACACATATATATATGGGGTCTTAGTGTGAGTGTGTGTGTGCAGGACTATTATTGATTATTATATCTAAAGAAAATTGGTTTATATCCTTTTATATTAGCATGCAACATGGAAAGGTACTAACAGGCTTGCCTTGATGTATTCTGGTCAGAGTATGTTAGCCCTAAATGTAGATAGACTTAGAGACTTAGACTTGACTTTATTAATCCCTTGGGATTACTCCCTTCGGGAAATTGTATATATGTATAGATGCTAATTGCTTTAGGCAGCAAGTGTCTCCTGTACTAGTCTGTATGGAAGCATATAGGAAATCCTGTAGTATCATAACTTAATCAATACCTGAAATAAGTACAAGACCTTTGGATACTCCTAGGTGACTGAAGTACACCACTTATTATACATGGAAATAAGGAAAAAGAGAGCAAATATACAGTAAAAAAATAAATATTGGCAATGACAGAGTCTTAGGGATTTTCATTAAGACGAGTAAAGTTAAGACAGATTTATACAGACTACAAACTGTACTTACTCTTTTCTACCTTATTTCTTCTGTCTCTTTGTTAGTTCCCTCCTTTTCCTACAAGTTGACAACAGGCCTTGCTCGAGGTCACCTTCTACCTGTTTCCCCTCTGCTACCGAAGCCGCCAGTTTCCTAAATGCTGTGATAATGCTGAAGCCCTCCACATTCCCAGCCCTGCCAGAGCTGAAGGCCATTATTGGTATCAGAGGTGTCCAAGAGGAAATAGGAAGCAGAGAGGAACAAATGGATGTTAAAGGTAGGCTCTTCTATCCTGTCACCTACATAGGCGTTCCACATACAGTACTTCCAGTTTTAGAATTTAGCCAAGCAAAACACTAAAAATCAGCTTTCTGTTCGCAGTAATACAGTTTTTAGCTGTATTACTATAAACTGTGTCTAAATTAAAAGAAAAATTATTTGTCACAAAAAGTGTATTTTTCGATTTCTCCAAACTAGGGGTACTAAGTTGTATACATACTTTTTTTTGTTCAGGTTTGTTAACAAGTCTTGATGGGATTTTTTTTTTTTTATGGGATAAATTTTTTTTAGGCTAAAACTAATCAATGAAAGGTGAAATTACTTTAAAAAACTAAACCTACTTTTATTTACAAGTTGTTGTTTTTTCTAAACAGTGCCTTAAATGTTTATACTTTTATTGTATCATTCATAGAGAAAACTCCAGTTTGGATTTGGGCAGTAGCTGTCATAGCAGTTGTCCTTCTGATCCTTCTTCCACTGCTGGTGTTCTTCATAATGAGGAGGATGAGGTCGCAGCGATCCGAGAACAATGGCAGTGTTAGGGTAAGACATCGGCATAAAGTTTCTAATGATGATGAGGCCAGCAAATCCAAGGCCTGGATGCAACACACACCACACCAAGAGCAAAGAGTCCGATCTAGCAGAGAGAAAGATAAAATCAGCCTTAGGAAGAAAAAGATGGCCAAGGAAGCAGAGAAAAAGAAGAGGAGGGAGCCACTAGGAGAGGATGCCATTCGAATGAGGTAAGTTACGCTGCACCTCTAGATTCTTTTTTCTGAATGAGTCATGCAACTAAATCAATAAGCTGTTTTTTATTCTTTGTAAATGTAAACAATTAGTATTTGAATTGTTAAAAATACTACACACACACATATAAATTATAGCCTGTTGGGAGCCAAAGGCCGGTCCTAATATAGTGGACCCCCATTTTTAATGACAGGTTGTTAGTGTACTGTAGAGGTATGGTGTCAATTAATGTTAGGTCGCTCTTAGGGTTTGGAATATACAGATAATTGTTAGCTTAAATGTCAGGGTTCGGTATAAACACAATAATTAAAATGAATGGAAGTGAATATTTAGTTTTCATTTGGTTAGAAATATAAACTTGTTATAAGCACACCTTAGTGCTGTTGTTTGGCTTAAAGGTCAAAGGTACATTCTTGTTGTTGAAGCAATAAAGTTTTTCAAAAAAAGATACACTCATTGACCAATTCTGACAAATCCAAAATATATGAATATTTATTTTACTATGCCAACAGCTCATAAGCTACATGGAGGTTGCTGCTTTTCTTGAAATATAAGTTAACGAGTTACTGATGCTGATCTTTGGTTTGGGTTAGCAAACCATTGGCAAAAGCAAAGCAAACAGAACTAATAAAGGTTGAATGAGAGCCCGTGACTTCAGGTGAAGCGCTTACCTGTCAAGAGTTAAACTAAAAGCCATCTTCTCTAAAGGTCAAAGCTACAACATTTTAATCAAAGCAATAGAATTTTTACAAAAAACAATAATACAACCAGTGGTGTAGGATATTGATAGTTAGGTACTGATTTTACTAACAACACTATAATGTATGAATATTTGTTCGATCAACTTTGATGGGTCCAAATATGTTTTTGATGCCAATGTCGACCCGAAAAACCTGACGTGTGTCAAATGCTAGAAGCCAAATGGCTTCTTCTCTGCCTTATATTTCTCACATTTAAACCAATAAACCAAGCAAAAAAGAAAAAAACAATACATGGGTGAACATCAGTCAAACTTCCTAGCTGGGGGTCGACTTAAGGAAGCAAAGGGGCAGGGAGTCCTTGTAGAGTTTGCTGCTTTTCTTCTGAGCAGGCGAGTAAAATGTTTTCCAATGCTTGCAGACCTGGGACCTGTTTTGCAATCCGTATGGAATAAGAGAGGGCCCAACATACTGTATGAGAGGAGTAAAACTTTAAGATGGCAAAACGGTACCTCCAATTATCAAGGAAAATAGATCTAAATGTTTGATTAAAAAGATTGTAACTGAAAAAATAATAATGGTTCTCAAATCTTTTAGATTTGAGAACCATTATGAATTTTTACCATTTCTTTTGCACTAATTTACCATTGGAATACAATGAATAGGTGTTTATATTTACAAAAATTAACACAGCAGCACTTTACTTTTATCGCACCTGTGGGCACTTATGAATAAAAAGATGTGGGACAAAAGAAAAAAATGACAAGTAGTAGCTGGGTATGTTGGGACATTTTTAACAATTAAATGTTATGGTTTCCAGGCCTCTGAAAAAGGACCAAGAGCCAGGAAGTGATACAGACTTTACCCAAAGCTCAATGGAGGACATCAGCATGAGATGCTCCAAGCGACAGGAGGACCCTTCAATCTGTGACCACAGGAGCTCAGACCAGAGACACTTTCGGACAGGAACTGTTCAGACTCGCAGGCCAATACAATGTAATTTGTCTGACACACCTACAAATTCACACTACTACTAATACCTATGTTTTTTTCATACCTACCATCAAATAGTAGCCTTTAAAAACACATGTTTTTCTTAAATCAATGTAGGACATGATGCATGCCGAGAAATTCTATACTTTGTTTATCCAACTTCTTGGGAAAGTCTACAGTCAGTAGACGTAGTGCTTTAGGATTATTTCATTATTTCAACTGCAAACCAAATTACGACCATTATAACCAGCTATATCATGCATCCATAAGGTGTAATAGTACTGCAGAGTCTTGTGCATTGAACTGCATAGAACTTATGGACAAAGGACATTCTTTTGAGGACCAGAATGTTCATATTTTGGATAAAGAAAATAGGTGGTTTGAGAGGGGCGTGAAGGAAGCCATCTATGTTAAGAAAGAAAAGACAACCTTAAACAGAGGGGGCTGGACTCAGGTTCCAGCTTTAAAAAACCTTCAATCCAGCAATTTAGTTAATCCCTTCCCGTTATCATCGCAGCCCCACCCCCTGTACAGGAGAGTGGAGGACCTTGTCTATTCAGCCAGGCCAACAATTCCCTTTAACGACCGACCTTTCAGACACTTAGATGGGTATGGGATATTGCAGTCTAACAAACAGAGGTGTCAAGTAACGAAGTACGAATACTTTGTTACTATACTTAAGTACACTTTTTATGTATCTATACTCCATTACTTATTTTTCTTCGTACTTCTGACTTCTACTCGTTACATTTTCATATAAGTATCTGTACTTTCTATTCCTTACATTTGTAAAAACAAACGTTATTGCTCTTGTCTTTGGTTTTATGTTTATAAATAATTATTTCATTGGTTAGCTATTCGTCATATTTGTGCTGACGCCAAAGGCAATCATCAGAAGCAAGCAGGTGTTCTTCAAACTGCAAACGTGAATTGTCTATGCCATGCTACAATGTCGGATGTCGAAATGTCTGAAAGGTTGGACACAGGCGAGAGCATATCCGGAGATGGAGACCAACAAGACCTCCTTCATCCTTGGCCCTATCTCAAAGAATTTTCCAAAATAGTTGAAAAATTGAGCTTTCAATTCATATAGTGTCATCTGGCTGTTTTTCTTTTTTTTAAAAGGTTACTTTATACTTTAAGTAGTCTTTGGAGCACATACTTTTTCACTTTTACTTGAGTATAGAGATCAAGTTGATACTTCATCTTTTACCGAGTGTTTTTAAACTGCAGTATCTGTACTTCTACTTAAGTAACAAAAGTGTGTACTTTTGGCACCACTGCTAACAAAAGAAGCCAAACGACCCTTATTCCAAACGGGTGGACCCCTTTGTCTGTTCCAATTTGCGTGTTTTCAAAACAAAAACAAGGCGTTGTTGGGCTACTGTATAAAACCTTGAACTCAATGCTATTCCTGACATTTTGGATTGAAAAAGCTTCCTGGATGGGAAGCAAAACGTCTTCAAACGTGGAAACAAAGTCCAGTATGATTATACTACATGTCCTTTGTGTGCTTTGGTGCATTTGAGGATATACATAATATATGTGCTCATTCTGAACTTTCAGCTCCACCTAGAGGATGGGAAAGAAATGCCATGCCACCTCCTTTGCTCAGTCCTCCACAGCAGGTCAGTTATATTAGTTTACCTTATAATTAAAAGCCAAATTCAAAATGTGTGCTGCTGAAGTGTTCTGATGCTCACCCTAGTGACGTTTGTTGGCAGTCAGCAGAATGGTGTGGTCCAGATGGGTCTGTGGTTCTGATCCGAGCTGTGCGTAGTGGACTGGACAGGGTGGTTCTGGAGCTGCTGCAAGCTGGAGTTCCAGTAAACAACACAGATCATACTGGTAATGTTTCCTGTGATGGTGTGGTACCTGAACATGTGCCTCAGCCCCCAACCCTCAGAAAATTATGTTGAACTTATGTAGCTCATATTCATCTTTTTCTGACGTTGAGAGGGTCGAGTAACTCGTGACTTACTCCGTCTCTCTCACATCCTGTTTTTGTGTCCCTTCTATCACTCCTGTCTGTCATTATCCAGCTCCCCTTCTCTCTTCTTCTGACTCAGAGCAAAGTTAATATATTTAGGTCAATAGATATATTAACTTTGTGGCTCCTACTTCTTTTTGCTTCAGTTCCTCCTTGGGCCGAATTCTGTCCTTTTCTTCAACCTCGTGTCCTCCTGTCCCTTTACCTCATTCTTCTCTTAATTATAGATGTCCCTCCATTTTCATCCTCTATCTCCTTACCATCTGGACTCAACTGTTGTGTAATGGTTGTTCACTGGCTGACCTACTCCCTCACATCCCTTCCACTCACACTGTCTCTCAGGGAGATCAGCCCTACACTGGGCATGCTCAGTAAATCACCTCTCTCTAGCAAGGACCCTTATTCGCTATGGGGCTGCTGTGGACCTACAAGACAACAAGGTAATTGTCTAAGCTGTATTATCCAAACATTTCTCCAGAAAAAAAACATTGATAAACATTCATATATTTTGTCATGTTACAATAAAAACTTCAATGTAGTTTGAGGGGATTTGTTTTGTGCCAGCAGAAACGTAGCAGAGAAATTAAAACCCACAACACCATATTGTGATGCTGCCATTATATTTTACAGCTCAGGCTTGATGATGTTCTTAGGTTTGAAAGTCCTACGCTTCTTCCTTGAACATTTTGACTAAACAGTTCAATTCTATTTTTGTCAGAGCACAAGAAATGTCTACTAAAATTAATATATTTGTCCCTGTGTGAAACTGCAAACTGTAATCTGGCTGGTATGTGTTTCTTTTGGAGCCTTTTTTTCTGGGCAGACTTTGAGCTTTAGAGATCAGGTAAATAATATTAATGAACACCATTATGTAGACCTAGAATAACAACATACAGATCAAGGATAGGAAAGTTTAAGAAAGTTACACAATGGAAAGAGTATGGCAAAACCATCCACCTAAACCATCCACCTTAGAGAATGCATGAAATCCAAAGCTTAGGTGGGAGAACGTCTTCCTATAGTTGAACAACTATTCGTCTTCTGGCTTTCATGAAGGACTAACGAGGGTGAATTTTGAAAGCCATTGATAGTGCAGTTGACAATTCACCAGTAGGCATGTATGTAGTGAATACAGAACCATGAAAGAGAAAAGTTACTCTGATCTGATCAGAATACATCTAAAAGGTTTGGCCAACGTACTAAACCCCAGTGGTGGAGGAAAACCACAGCTGCATGTTTCCCTTAATACACAATCCCTGCTATCAAACAAGCTGGGGGCAGCATTACGCTGAAGGTATGCCCTTCTTCAGAAAGGCGAAGGAATATGATTGGGATTGATAGGAAAATGGATCTAAATACAGGAAAACACCAGAAAACCCCCCAAAGCATTAGGGGCTCCAAAAGACTTGTTGGTGATTCAACCTCTACGATCTCCAAGCCTAAAACTAAGAGCTACAATGGAATAGTTTGGTTTAGGATTTCTCATTTCCGGTCCGTCAGATCCGGTGTTCTGAACCATTCAGATGTTTCTTTGCTTCAACAAACCTCATTCAAATAATCAGGCCATTAGCTGGACACCAGAGATCTTTATTGCATTCTGAGGAGGTAATTATGGGTTTCCCATCTGATATTAATATTGGATATAGGTCCGATATTAGGCAAAAAGGCCTGGATCTAAAATCTCACATACTGTCATACTAATAGAAAAAACTCTGCTTTTGTTTAAAGTTTCTGTAATTCATTTGTTAATAATACATGGGTTAGGTGTTCTCATACTTGTTGTTAACTAATGTTCTCTGTTTAAGTAATATCAGTTGATCAAGGCTTTTCTTAACATTCTACAGTACAAAATAAGGAATAAAAGCATGTTTTTACTGCTTATATCGTATTTGATCAATACACCTATCTTTGAATTGAATTCTCAAAGCTGCAATATCCGTTTTGTATCAGAAATGAAAAAGTTGTATCGGGTAAATAAGCCATTTGATTCATATATTAAAGCATCTGAAAAGGTTAGAATATCCCACTTAAAGCTAATACCCTGGATCTGTGCCACGATAAAAAAAAAAAATTGTTCATAAAAATACTCCAAACAAATCAATCAATCAATCAAAACTTTTTATTGTCAACTACAATTTACATTGTAATTGAAATTTCAGTTTCAATACAACCGTTCATCGAGGGGGGGAAAGGATTGACTGAGACCTTGCGTGCCAGAGAATGCTGCCATTCAGCAGAACGGCGCATTCTTATGGCTTCCTGGCTTCCCAGGTCCCAGGCGCTTTCCTAATAGCGCTGCCTTTAAGTGCTTACCTAAAAAAGACTAAATATTCAAGCTCTAGACAAGCAGCTCCTATAAAAATTTTGCAGACATCAATCTCTTTTTATTTCACAACAATGCCCTATCTCGTTATAGTGTGTTCCAAAAATCCAGTAAGGCAGGTAGAGGCTTCTGGCTGTAACATGACAAAGTATATGAACGTTCAAGGTTTTAAATATTTTTGGAAGGCACTGTATGAAGGATGTATGTAAATAGAAAGAGGTATTTAAATTCATGATTAAAATTGGATACACCATTATTTTTTGTTAGGGTGAAACACCGCTTTTCCTGTCCTCCCTTCATGGCTGTTACGACACTACCAGGCTTCTCCTGCTTCATGGTGCCAACCTGGAGCTGCATGACCGCCGAGGGCGTCGTCCGATTGATGTAGCCAGAGAGGCAATGCATCATCAGGTTCTAGAGCTCCTACTGGCTCACCAGATCCAGAGAGGGCCTCTTCCTGTTAATACAGACAATGATGTCATGTGGGAGGAGCGCGCTCTGATGTACTCACCATGGGTCAGTACTCAGGGTCTCCCTGGAAGAAGCGCCTCATTCTCTGGGATGATAGCCCATCGAGACATGGCTTCAACCCCTGAGAGGTACAGTAAGCTTAATAAATCTGAATCATTCAGAAACTACATAGTTATCATATAGACTAATTATCAATAGTATTTGAAGAATAACTATGTAACGTTATCACCAGAAAATAGTTTCAGGCAGTCCACAGAGGATGTTGTGATCACTCTGATGGGCTACCTGGTCACTTCATATGCAAGGAGTTAGGTCCAGATTTTCAGCAAAGAACGTCTAATTCTTCCTCGGACTTTGTGTCTCTTTACGTCTAGCAATATTGTTTATGATAATGGACAGGAGTTTGACTTAGAAAAAAAATGGATAGGAGACTCGAAGGGAGGGTTTCAGGGGAGATAAGAGAGGAATGCATTTCTTTGTAATCAGTCTACTAATCTTTATTTTTATCAAATGCCTTGCATCAAGAAGGTTCTGGGAAGCTTCCTCCCACAGTTCAGAAACCTGACTGTTAGGTCAATTGGCTTCTCTAAATTTTCCTTAAGTGTGAGTGTGTGTGCATGGTTGTGTGTCTCTGCGTTGCCCTGTGACAGACTGGTGACCTGTCCAGGGTGTACCCCGCCCCTAGCTCGTAAACTGCTGGAGATGGGCTCCGGTCCTACTGTGATCCTGACAAGGATTAAGCAGGAGAATATGGATGAATTGAAGAGCATTACTTAAGCTTATGGCTAATAAGTGAAAATAATAAGATGTTTAATGCTTTAAAATTGGTGCCCAAACACATTTATTTATTTTTAACATGAAGTATGCATTAATTCAGGAACAATAATTCCACTTTATAATAGCTAAATTTTCTTTCTATGCTTTTGGGCTTACTTGTAAATAAAATATATATATATAAACAATCCCTCAATCTAAGTTGTTAATAATAGTTTTTTGATGTCTACAATAATTATTGGGCCTGATATATAATTGGTTTCTTGTAATTATGACATTTCTTTGTTGCTAGGGACTGGTCAATGGGACGGATGCATTACCCATCTCCACAGAGCTGGAGGCCACAGCTCAACCAATCAGCAACGGCACTTGTTCCTCCGAGGGTTATGGGTCGTTCCCCTCGACCAATAAGTACCTTACAAGAGGTGACCTCAGAAGACGAAGATCGTGACAGACATCACGAGAACCCTCGAGCCACTACACCTCATTTCCTCTCTCCGCAGCCAGCCCCTAGACAGCGCTCTTTTTCATGTACCCAACATGCACTGCAGCGCCGCTCCAGCGCTCTCCAGCCAGAGCCAAATTACCTCATAGTGACGGACAGAATAGCCAGCGAGCCAATTGAGAGGGTGGTGGTTTCACCCCCACCAACTAGTGTGAGCCAACTAGACCAACAACCAACTGGGATGGGTGAAAACACCAGCAGAGCCGGACAGGCAGCAGTGAGTCCAGTAAATTCAGAGCAGAAGCCAAACACAAACAACGCCAATGACTCCACACAAACTGTCCTGTAAAAAAAAAAAAATTAAACAGGCAGACAAGTTTCGGCTGAATGTAAAATAAAGGACAGGATTCAGAAATTAACTATATGCCTCATGCATTAATTTGTTTTAGGAAAATCAAAGAAAAAGAATGTAAAACAAAACTTTGGAACTTGACATCTCTTCAATCAGTTTTTACATGCTCTGTGCCCACTTGGCCCTATTCTTTATCACTTTTTTTCCCCATGAGGCTTCTTATATTATGGAAGGGAGATATTATTGTAAATGCTGTTTGTTTCTTGTAAGTCCCTCAAGTGCCCTTATTCCCCAGTTCTCATGCCTTTCTGAATGGATTTTAAAGAAAGAGCAGCAGAGGCTGAAAGAAAACTTTTTGAAAAACTGAAGAAAATTATATTGAGGCAACTTTAAAACATTATAGCTCCTGAAAATAAAATGTATATTTATGAGAAATTGATCACAATTTATGGAGAGGACAGTTTAAGTTGCAGAAGTTTAAGTTTATTCCCTGCAGAAATATTTAAGGAGGAATAATTTTAAAGCTGTTTCCAAATTCAAAATAGAGCTTATATATTCAATAAAGTAACTTTCTATCTATTTAATGTTGACATCTTTGTTTTTATTTTATGCCTTTCAATTCAGTTTAGTTTATTTATATAGTGCCCAGACACATAAAAATTACCCAGACATTCTAGCAGAGGAGGAGGGGTAGTGTGAGGGATCGCTTTTGATGCAATAAATCGATGCAATCAGGTTGGTTTCTTTAGACAGAAAACTTCAAACCAATCTGACTGTATGATCTGGTTTAGTTGTCTCTGTAAATTGCCTTAAAATGACATTTGTTATGAATTGGTGCTTTGTAAATGAAGTGAATTGAATTCAATAGTGCCAATTTACAACACATGCCATCTCAAGGCATTTTACAAAGTCAATACTGTCAGATTGGTTTATAGAAATACCAGCTGATTGCATTTGGTCATTACCTTGCAAGAAATGCTCCTCCTGGATGAGCTTGCAGCAACGACTTTCAATTGCATTTTGTTGTTGCCCCCTCAGTAACCCCTCCGTTCAAGCATGCATGCAACTAGAACCAGCAGAACCAGGCTCAGTGTGAGCTGCCTTCTACAGAGGCTGAGTCGGGTTCAAGGAGACAGAAGCAGGTAACTGTTAACTAGCTCCAAAGGTGACTCCGTCCAGGAAAGACACAGAACTCAGACACTCAGGACTCCAAGTTCTATGCCCTAACCACTAGGCTGCCACTCCCCATTTGAAGGAAACAGACAGAAAATAGGGCCCATAATTGGGTAACACACAAAAAATCCGTCATTTTCAGTGAGGTTAAAAATCTTATGGGGTCTCTGGAGCAGGATAGCGGCGGGCAGTGAAGCTTGATACTCAATGCTGATTGGCAATGCTGATTTGCAGAACACACTTTTTGAATAATAGTGGCATGCAAAGGGGAGGTTTTCCTCGAGAGTGATGAGGGAGGAAAATTGTCAGTAAGCCGGAACAGTCTTCTTGTGCTGAACTCTTGCTGTGCCTTCTGGAGTTTATTATGTCAGAGTGCTTCACAGCAGCTATTTTCACCTGTTTTAGAAATGTGTTTTATGTGTTTCAAGATTTGTTGATGCAAAAAGTGACATTCAGATTTCAATGATATCACTGAACCTCCCTTGTTTCATAGGCTGGAGCTGCCACTGCTGCATTTAGCCCTTTTAAACACAAATAAATAATATATTGTATATAATTTTAAATAAAATATTAGATTTAATTAAATGCAATTAAACAGTGAATCAATGTAAGTCATTTTAGTATATTTTTATTTCTTATTCTTTGATATTTATTTGCTAAATCAAATGATCGATTATCTGAAAATATATATATCATTAAAGTAAAGTTCCATCAACAAATAGCATATAATAAAAGTCCCTAGTTTAGACATAATGCTCATTTCTTAAAATAATGTACAGCTCCCCAGTCTGCTGTGTACAATGAACACATTTTCTGAAAATTACTGCAAAGTAAAACAAATAATCAATAATCTGCATATATATGTTGAATGAAATTAAAGTCCCATCACCAGATTATGGTATGATAAAAGCAACAAATGAATACAGAATGCTAAATTTATTAAAGCTCCCCCGTCTGCTTCACAATAAAAACACTTTTTCAGAAGAAGCTGTTGACTGTAGAACACCACTGTCATTAAAAAGGTTTATGCACACCTGAGATGCCTATGCAGAGACAGAAAATTACATAGTATATGGTATATATAAATATATGGGAGATATAGATTATGATAGAAGGAGCATCAATGTCAGCAGCACTGGGAGGATTGGAGAGGCCACCATACCAGGACTGAAAGAAAATATGCTGGAAGAAAAAAAAACACTTTGAGAAAAGTTTATCAACCTAATCTGTTAAATGGTACATTTAAGAGGGTAAGAAGGTTCTGATATTTTTTTGATAACATGTTCAGGAAGGTTTTCTCTCACATTTTTCATGTCGACTAAGATGTGCAGCTGGGTTATATATGGCTAGACCACCTTAGTCTCCATACAGGCAGTAAGACTTGCTATAACTATTTAGTACCATCTAAATAATAGCATTTTTTTGCAGATTCCAATTCTGCTGCTGATAAACGACCAGATGAAAGCAAGTATGAAAGTGGAAAGAAACCTATTTTGGAAGAATTTGGTTCTGATCAAATCACTTGAGTCAACAGCAATGAATAGATGTTACAGAATCTGCTTTCAAAGTGTGTACTTTTAAAATGTTGTAGGAAATATGAACGGCTATAAAGATTAATACAACTGCACAATATGTTCCTAAAGCAAGTTATTCAGTAAAAGTATGTCTAAAAAAACAGCAATATTTGTTATCTGGCAACAGTGATCCAAAGACTGCTCTGGTTTTAAATAGAACTATGCATAACATTGATAAAATATTGTCAAACATGCTCTAAATGAAGCAAGACACTTAATTAAAACCTCTAGCTGATTGTGCTCAGTTATCCAGGAATACACAAACTTTTATAATGTACCTAGCTTGTGGAAAATATTTTATGATGACAAAAAAATGCCAATATTCTTTGCTGAAATATCATCCTCTGCTGAATCAGCATGCTGAAGTTATCCTGTGGAATAGCTTTAGCACCACTGTGGTTTCTGCAAAATGTGTGGTTATTTAAAAAAAGGAATTGCAAAAACAAAAGGAGGAACAGGGAAGGCTGGAACATCATTCACATGTATATATTAAGTTTAAGTCAGTATTGGTCTTTGTGGGTTTTCACTTTTACCTTTGTAGCACCAGTTGTGCTTGTGAATGTTCTCAGTCATCCAGGTCATAGTCATTCCAAACAAAAAGAAAAAAAATACACTGGACTTTGTTTCCAAGTTTGAAGACCTTTCACTTCCCATCTGGATTATTGATGAGTTCCCGGCTTATAGAGCGGCCCAAACAAAGGCCTTGTTATGGCTTAGAGAACATGCAAATTGAACCGAAAAAAACGTTCCTCCCCTTAGTAATGGGGAGTCTTTGAGGTCATTGTTGGCCTGCAACACCCACAGCAGAACATAAAGGTGAGAAGATTAAAAACATCGCTATCACTTATGTGACTGGACTCTCTAAGAAACTAAAGAGGATTTTCTCCAAAAACTAATTCCCAGCACATTTCAAACCAAACAAGAATCTTAGACAGAAGCTAGTGCATCCTAAAGACAAAACTCCCAAGCCTAAGATGAGCGGTGAGTGGTGAATGCATTTCAGTGCATTGAGGAATGCTCTCATCTTTATATTGGAGAAACCAAACAACCTCTCTACAGGTGCATGACTCAACACAGGTGGGTTACCTGTGGGGAGTGATGGCCTAGTTGTTAGGGCATAGAGCTTGCAATCCTGAGGTTCTGAGTTCAAGTTACACTTCCACAGACTGCCACTCTGGGTCTCTGAGCAAGACCCTTAAACACACACTGCTCTCCGGGTGCTGCATAATTGTAGCCTACATCTCACCTGGTCAGCCAAGCTCACAAAGACCTCAACGACTCCCAATTAATAAGGGGTGGACCTTATTTTTTGTTTCAATTTGCATGTTTTCTAAGGCATAACAAGTCTTTTGTTTGAGCCCCTCTATAAGCCGCGAACTCAACGTTACTCCAGACATTATGAATTGAGGAAGCTTTCTGGATGAGAAGCGAAATGTCTTCAAACTTGGAAAACAAAGTCCGGTTGTTTTGTTTTTTTGATTTTTTTGGAATGACTATGAATAGGATGACAAATTAAGCAAACCAAGAAAGTAACTATGACAACGAAAGAGCAATAAAAATATACTTAAACTACTTAAAAAAATATGAAGATTACTTAAAAACACACTTGATAAAAGGCTTTGACTAATATATGGTTATTAAATTAGGGAATACCTGTCGTCTGTCGTGGCTGGAGGTGGTGGAATAATGGTAGATGAGTTTCTGCAAAAAATTCACAGTCTTATTTTACAATATAATTTTTTTTGGGCCTATGAATATAATCTTAAGCAAAACCCTTCAAATGGTTGTCAAATAAGCTAATACCTGTTGTCTGTAGTAGTAGCTGGATGAACAGTGGATGAAATCCTGTATAAAAACAAATTAAAATGTAAGTATACAACTGAGATACGTTTGACACATGATTACTGTTAATACCTACAAAACAATGAAAAATCACTCTCATTTTGTCATATAAACCTTTTGTTCTTAAGGTCAGTTAGAGTGAATAAAATCATTTGTGTTTACAAAAAAGTTATTAATATACCTTGGCATATTTTCTAAAATTCAAGCTCCCAATTTGAATCCACTAGTCTGGTATTTTCACATTAGAATTTTAATTTTATAGTTATGAACATAAAATTTTTCCTACATTTCCTCTGCACCCAAATAACAAGAACTGCATTAAAGTAAACGTGACATGAATGATCCAAAAGTTGCTTTCAAGCAAACACCAAAAATGCCAAGCACACTAAAACTGTCATGAAGAACCTCTTTTCTAAGTTAGTTTAAAAGGTAATTTGACCTAATTTCAAATTCTTCAAAATAAACGTTAGTTCTAAGACATGAAAATCCATGCCAAACTAATATCAATGCATCCTTTAGTGGATAATGGTTTTCAACTGTTTTCATTTCTTTTCTATGTGCACACAGCAGCTTAGTTTAGTGGAGTTCAACATATTAAGTCAAAAGATTTTAACTGAATTATGTTCAACTAGGAATTGGATGATTTTTTTGACAAATTCTTAAATTTTGAAT